CCATTATCTCCTGCCCACATCGATGATGCCGATGCCGTCCTACCCTCTTTTCCAACCTTCGCGGCAGCTGCCTCAGACGGGGAATCCGATCTTCTTGCAATTTTAGGAAAATGTGGACAAGTAATCGATTTGCATTAACGCTCATAGATTTGGTTGGGGTATTGGCGTGTTGGTTTGTTTACCTCAATGAGAACAGGCTATTCGTTTTCATTGTGATAATAAGGAGTAGATCTACATAATGTTTTCTTTTCGGTACGTGACATAATTCCATTTCTTCCGCTCACATTTTCCTCTATTCTCTGATGTTTTGAATAAATTGCCTCCAATACGTTTTTATTAGATACCGGAACTATGTGATCTTATTATTGACACTAGTGATTTACATTTTTTTTTTTAGCGCGATCTATATAGTTGTATATAGGTCTGTGTAAAAACAAAGTTGAGTGAGGCTCTCGACGGTGAAGTAGAAAAATACGTTTAATAGAATAATTTATTATACAAAAAAAGGTTTCTAAAAAGAGATAAATACGTTTGAGGAAAAAGTATTATTCTCTTTTTCAACCTCAATCTACTTTAAAGGTAGGATCCATTTTATGTAAATATAACATAACGTAATATAATCTAATATATATATGTATGATTGTGTGAGTGTGTATTTAAAACATAAAGGCTTAATAAAATGCAAAGCAATCTTCGAAATTTTGCATAAGTTCTCTCTTTAACAGGAGTAAATACCAAAGGGAATATTCAGAAACATTTGTGGCATCTACTTGGCTTTATTATCATTTTCAAATTTGTATATATTTTCTTTTGTCTAGAAAAGGATGTACATAAATCCTTTGTAAGTTTTGATTTGTCAGTAGCTGTAATAATGTCTTTTTTTATTGAAAGTCCTTTTTTTTTTTTGAACGCTTCTCCTACCGCGTTATTTTTGATGAATCAATTAAGGTAGTCAATTCGTAATACCAGAACTAATAATAAATAAATTACAGAAAACCATATACCTATCTTTGAAAACATAATTATTTGACATTCCAATAGGGGTAGCCGTTTTATTTCTAGTATTTTTTAAAAAAAGTTATTTCCTTTGAGTTTTTACACGGGTTAATTTACTTTTACTTTTCCAATTGTTTCTGTTTAGCAAAGTAAATGAACATTTAAACCTTTTTTCTGCTGAGAAATGCTTCATCTCTCGAGAAATGTATACGCATATGCGATAATTTCATTATTTAAAAAAAATCATATTTGTGTTAATACCTTTTTGAAGTAAACATAATCGTTTGAAATGAGTTTGATTGAGTATTTTAATGGTCAATTTGTATATATCAATCTTGAAAAGAGATTTTATTGTAAAAGGTGGAAAACGAAAGATATTTTAATCATTTTTTCCTTCATGCAGTTTCGGTTATTTTTATTACCTTTGTTGCAACTGTTCCTTTTTTCATGATGAATGAGGACAAATATACTCATTAGCTTTTTTGTTATGTTTTATTATCATCGAGATGCCGTATAGAAACACATTCTCAAATAAATTTACAAAAAAAAATCCTAAGGAATTGAAGTTTCTGAAGAATTGAATGCGATAAACTAAGACGCGGTTCTTCTTTTGCCAATATACGTTTAATTTTTGAACTCTTCCTAGTTCTCTAAGATTATCGTCATTTACATTCCAACTCCTCTTTTCCTCAATAACATTTATATATTCCCTCCTTTTTCCTCTGATTGTGAAAGAAGTAAAGAGTGAAATTGAAAAGCATAAATATACTAGTGTTATATGATGTTTTCTCTTAAATTAGTACTACTTATTAATGGTATTTTTATCTTCCAAATGTTGTGTGCATTCATACATATTACTGTGCAGAATATTGTATTTGCTTTAATTTCACTCTTTCTTAAGTGTGTAATTCTTTAGAATTTCATACAAAGGACAAATATCTCGTTGAGTAATATCACTCATTTTGAGAACGGTAATAATTTTCCTCTTACGAGTGAGGAAAATACCATTTGCGAATGGTAAATATTAGGTTTTGAGTCTAGGACTCATTTTCTATCTAATTCCGAACTGATTGATTTTATGAATCTATTTATCTATATATATAGAAACTATATCTATACATATTGTTGTTATATCTGACTTAATAATATTTTCGAAAATATGTATTGATATAGAGATAAAGTGTTTAAGAATAAAATGATGTTGTTTTAAAATTTCCCAACTGCTATTCGGAGTCGCACATCTTCCATAATTGGTAAAACTATACGTAAGATATATATGCTTATACATTTATAGACTAATACTTGTTTGCTTTTAAATGGCTATTCATGTAATGTCATAAATTTTTTAAGAGAGTAAATAATGCTTTTTATTTGATAATAATCATCTCTATGAGATAAATGATTTTTTTCAATAACCTCTATTCACGCAGATATTCTTTCGACACTGATTATAACTTAGCTATCGTATGATTATATTCTCTCTGATGCAATGTCATGCAAAAAACGATTCTTTTTATTCCTACCTTTGACATTTTACCCCC